GGTTCAAGGCAGTAAAAAAGCTCAGGAAGACAGCTGCTCACTGAAGAAAAGGTAACAAACTAAGTTCTGGAGATCTTAAACTATCTTTTAAAGGGCAGAGACAAGGCCAAGTATTGGATGGAAAGCCAGGGGAATGAAGACACAAATGTCAAGAGGGAGGGTGGTTCAACAGTGTCAAAATTCTGCTGAGAGAGCCACTAGTTGAACTGCAGGACATTATTATTAAGCAATTCCAAAAAAGTTCTGCTAATGCTGTTTGGACCAACTCCTATGTTATGTGGTATACACTGTGGAATACAAAATGCTGGGGAAAATTCCTAAGGAATTCACTAAAAAAACTACTAGAACTAATAAACAAGTTCAGCAAGGCTGTAAGATACAAGATCAATATTTTAAAAAATTAACTATTTCTATATACTTGCAATGAGCCATCTGAAAATGAAAGTTAGAAAACAATTAGAAAACAATTCCATTTACAATAACACCAAAAGGAATTAATTACTTAGGAATTAATTTAAGGAAAGATGTGTAAAACCTATAACTGAAAACTACAAAACATTATTATTCTTTAATTCATAAGATCTTCTTTAGAAGAACTAAACAAATGGAAAAACATCCCATATGCATAGCTCAGATGACTTAATTTTAAAATGGTTATTCTCCAAATTAATCTATAAATTTAAGGCAATCTCTACCAAAATCCCAGTTGCCCTCCTTGTAGATGTTGACAAACTAATCTTAAAATTCACATGGAAATTCAAAGAACCCCAAAAGCCAAAACAATTTTGAAAAAGAACAAAGTTGAAGAACTCACACTTACTGATTCCAAAATTACTACAGACCTATAGTAATCAAGACAGTAGTAGTGGCACACAGACAGATACGTAGATTGAGAGGGTTTTTTTTGTTTTGTGTTTTGTTTTGTTTTGTTTTGTTAAGTAGGCTCCATGCTGGGTATGGAGCTTGAACTCACAACCCCAAGATCAAGACCTGAGCTGAAATCAAGAGTCAGGCCACCCTAATCAACTGAGCCACCCAAGGTGCCCCTAGAATCCTTAATGTAAAGGGTTAGAATGCAAAATGGTGCAGCCACTTTTGGAAAACAATCTGGCAGTTCCTCAACAAGTTAAACGTAGAGTTACCACATGGTCAAACAATTCTACTCCTACATATATATACCAAAGAGAAACGAAAACATACATCCACATGAATGTACACATGAATATTCACAGCAACATTATTCATAATAGCTAAAAAGTGAAAACAACCTAAATGTCTATCAACTGATGACTAAATAAACAAAGGTGGTATATCCATACAATGGAATAGTATTCAGCAACAAAAAAGAGTAACAGATTAATATGAACTTTGAAAATATGATGCTAAGCAAAAGCCAGGAGCCAAAGACCATATACTGTATGACTCCATTTATATGAAATGTCCACGACAGGCAAATCTATAGACAGAAAGCACATTAGAGGGGAATGCAAATATTGGCATTGATGGCTAGGGTATTAGGTTGTTTTGGGGGTGATGAAAATTGATTGTTCTAAAACTGATTGTGATGATGGTTGCTCATATCTGTGAATATAATAAAACCACTGGGGGGGGAACCACTGAATTATACACTTTAAATGGGTGAATTATATAGTACGTGAATTATATGCTATATATATATATATATATACACACATATATGTGTATATATATATATATATTGCATATATATATGCAATATATATATATATATATATGCTGGAAGACCCACAGATATAAATGTTTTACGGTAAGTACAGAAGTAAATCAAGTCTGGATGCCAATTTATTGTTCTTGTGAGGATAGTTACAGTAACTTATTAATACATCTGAAGTCTTCAGGCTTTCCCAAAAGTTAAATACTCATTATAATACTTCGTACTTGGTGTGCTGTTTGACATCACTGTTATTAAAACAAACCAATAACAGGTAATAACTTCTTTGAGTGTTTCAAACAGCAGTTTTATAAACTGAATAGGTAAAAAAATTAAAATTAAAATTAAAAAAATAAACTGAATTGGTGGTTAGCCATACTAAACAAAATCTCTCTTACTACATACAGATCCAACTCTATATATCCTAGTTCTTATTTTTGGTATTGTGGGCTTATTACCCTAATGTTCCTAATCACTGGATATGTAATGTATTTATCTTTTTAAAAATTGTGATAAAATATACATAAAACTTACCATTTTTTAAGATTTTATTTATTTCTTTGAGAGAGAGAGTGAGAAAGGGAATGAGAAGGGCGAGGGTCAGAGGGAGAAGCAGACTCCCCACTGAACAGGGAGCCCAATGTAGGACTCGATTCCAGGACTCTGGGATCATGACCAGAGCTGAATGCATTCACTTAACCAACTGAGCCACCCAGGTGCCCCAAAACTTATCATTTTAACCATTTAAGTGTACAACTCACGGCATTAAGTACATCCACAGTGTTGTGCAACCATCACCCTTATCCAATTGCAGAACTTTATCATCCCGAACAGAAACTCTACACCCATTAAACAATAACACCCTATTACCAGCTCCAGCTAACCTTTATCCTACTTTTGGTCTCTATGAAATTTACCCATTCTAGGTACCTCAGATAAGCAGAATTATATAATATTTGTCTTTTGGTGTCTGGCATACTGGATTAGCTTAATGTGTTCATGGTTCACCCAAGTTCCAGCATGTATTAGAATTTCATTCCTTTTAAAGGATGAATAGTATTTCATAGTACATATACATACGACAATTTATTTATGCATTCATCTGCTGATGGGACATGGGTTGTTTCTACCTTTTGGCTACTGTGAATAATGCCGCAATGAACACTGGCATGTAACTATACGTTTGGCTCCCCAGTTTCAATTCTTTGGCATATATACATAGCAGTGAAATTGCTCAATCATATGGTAATTCTTTAATTTTTTGAGGACCTGCCAAACCATTTTTCCACAGCATATAGACCATTTTACACTCCCAACAGCAATGAACAGGGGCTCCCAATTCTCTACCTTCTCACCAACACTTGCAATTTTTTTTTCATAACAGCCATCCTCATGGGTGTGAAGTGGTATCTCATTGTGTGCAATGTATTTTTAGTCTATTATCTGTAAACAGAAGTTCACCTAGTGTTGATTTCTATAATTATATGTAGCACAGCCACGTTAGAGATACAAACAAATATTTACACGCCAATAAAATAAAGCACAGAATTACAAAGATTTAAATCAACTGAATTTTGAAAAAGATATCAAAGGTGACAATGAATACAGACATAACACAAAACCTATATATGCCATTTTACTCATCTGGGACTAATGTCTAAAAGACTAATATGTGTACATAAAAATTCCACAAAGCAAGTTACAGCTTTGTGATTTATAGATATGACAGTGAAACAAATGAGGAGTCACTCCTGAAGTAAAACTTTTAGAGACACATTTATCCCTGAGAGATCATTGTCACTGTCCCCATTTTAAAGATAAGTGAATCTGAAATCAAATAGGTTTAACCACTTGTCTTAGACCACAAAGCAAATCTTTGGAAGAGATCTGGAAAATAACAATTTGACTTCTAAGCTTAAGGCAAAAATCTCATAATTTAATGTGCAAAATATCAAAGAAAAACTGAGAACCATTTCAACTCTTAACGGTAAATAAACTATGGGAAGTTGCCCACAACACTGAAGCTTACAACCTCCAAAAGCAAGGACAGATAAACTCCCAGCTAACTGACCTGAATGTGGATTCTACTCAAAACTACATTTCCCGCCCCCCCCCCACCATGCTCTAGAGAACACTGAGTCTCTAACTTTGTCTCTGTTGTCATTGTTTTGTTAAATTTTGGCGGTTCAAACCTAGGATAATTCTATTGTTAAACTGACAAAGCCTATGTTGAAGCAAACAAAGAAAATGGAATTGTTCTTTGACAACCTTGCCTAAATCAGATATAGAAAGTGTTACTTGTCTTTTTTTCCTGCACTCTACATGCTAAACCAGATAGTTACTGTTTACCCTCACCGAATTTGATCCAATCGTTTTAGCGAAATTGAAATATATAATACGTATATTTTAAGAAATATTTTAAATTTCAAGAAATACTAAGAATATTTTAAGAAATCCATGCCCAGTTATGCAGAGGTGAAATGACCTGACTGGGATTTGCTTTAAAATACTTCAGCGTGAAACAAGATGGGACCGGGGAGGGAGACGAACTGAACCGTAACAGACTCTCAATCTCAGGAAACAAACTGAGGGGTGCTGGGGGGTCAGGGGAGGAGGGATAGGGTAGCTGGGTGATGGGACATTAGGGAGGGTATGTGCTATGGTGAGTGCTTGGAATTGTCTAAGACTGATGAATCACAGACCTTCACCCCTGAAACAAATAATACATTGTATGTGAATACAAAAAAAAAAAAAAAAACCTTAAGCAAAGCAAAGGAAAAAAAGTAGAGATGAAACATTTGTGACATATTTAAACTGTTGAATGTGGATGGTGACATACAGTTCATTTCACCTTTTCTCTCTCTACTTTTGTCTATGCTTAAAGTTTTCACCGTAACTTTTCACAAACTGAGTGATTTCCAAACGAAGTTACCGTCCTGGTTATCGAAGACAAGTCAGCGGATACGAACGTCCTAGTCTTCGGAACCATCCCGGCGAAGGGTCCCCCCGCAGAGGCGAGGCCGCAGTGGGCTCCGCGCCACCACGCGGGCCGAAGGCGCACGTTTTCTCCCAGGCTGAATCTGACAACTCCCTCGGTGCGCTCCCAGGCTCGGAGGACCGCCCAGCTGGGAAGTGGCGCACGCGGGACTCACGCCCGCGGCTCGGGGAAGCCCGACAAACTCCGCTCGCGCGCTACAAGCTCCCCGCCCAGTGTGGTCGGCCCCCGCAGCCCCTCGAGACCGCGGCTGGAGACCCCCGCACCGCCCCCTCCGTCCCCCCACCACGAACGCCGGCCCAACCCGCCGCCTACCATCCAGGTCCTCGTCGTCCTCCGACTCGGTGTCCGCCTTCGCGTCGGCGACCAGGCCAGCGCCGGGCTCCAGACCCTGGGAGCCGGAAGGAGGGGCGGCGGGCGGGCTGGCGGGCTGCGAGCGGGCCTCGCGCAGGCGGGTGAAGTAGTCCACCGCGAAGTCGACCAGGTCCGGCGGCTGCTGCCGCAGCACCTCCACGGTGTAGCCCTGCAGCAGCTCCGTGAGCCCCGGCGGGATCTGGATGTGGCTCATGCCGGCGGCGGCCGCGAGGACAGGCGGGTCCGGGCCGCCGGCGGCCACTGCCTCCGCGCTCCCTCACGCCGGCCTTTTCGCCCGGCGCCCGCGAGGTCTCCTCCCGCGCGACCCGGCTCTGGCCCTCCTCGCGCCGCGCCGCCCTTCGGCCCGTGTGAGTCTCCGGGCAGCACGACCCTAAGCTACTACGGCCGGCCTGGTGCCGCCGCCGCTGTCACTGGGCAGCCGCCGCCGCCGCCGCCGCCGCCGCGGGGACCGACGAGCCGGCAGGCGGGACGGGCGGGGTAGGAGCCCGGGTTGTGACGCACGCGACCGCGGGCGTGCGCGCCCCCGCCGACCGCCGGCCCCCAGTGCGCGTGCGCCGCTGGGCCGCCCGCAGGTCCTGGGCAGTCTCGGGTCGAGTCCCGGGAATGAGTGGTCTACTGGCTTAAGGGAGTCTTCGGTGCTTCCCACCTAGCCGGGAAGACCTTTCACATATTGTTTCAACATCCGGTAAGAGCCTCCTCTTTGCCAGCACTTGGTAGGCTCCAGGGACACAGCCTAGTAGAGCCAGATAGCCAGACGACGCCTGGCACACACGTTACAACTTCAGCGTGGTTCCGGCTGTCGTGGAGAGCAAGAGGGCGCGCTTTAGGGGGTGACATTCGGGCTGACTCCGAGACCTGGACAGGATCCCACGACAGGAAAATCTTGAGGAAAGCCATCTGAACATAGAGGGCAGCAAGAGCAAAGGGCTGGTAACAAGTCAGGACCACCCGGGTCCCAGGGTGGAGTGGTGGCACGACGGTAGGACCTTCAGAAATCTGGCAGGGGGTTTGTGATATGCCAAACTGGAAAGGCGTGATAGATGGTAGGAGTTTTGGTGATACAGTAATTTGAGAGCCACATGAAAGAAAGAAGCCCGTTAGAGTATGTATGCTGAGCACGGAGTAAGGTGCAGAGCAGGAATCACCTTTGTGTCTCTTCTCCTTTTAAGCACTCCCACCAGGATTCTGCAGGCCTTTTCTCTTCCCACACTCCACCCTGGCCCCACACTGTTTCATGGTGTTGAGTAGACCATAAGGCACTGTTATCCTTTGCCCCTAGGGAGGGGGCATAGGTGAACTGGAGAGGCTAGGCTATTTCCCAAGTTGCCCCACACCAGATCGAAGGGAATAGAAAAAGGTGCTTGTTCTGGGTCACAGTGCTGACGAAAGGCCAAGTGGGCATAGGACAGAATCCTGCCTCTCTTTGCTGGGCCCAGACAGAAAGTAATGAGCTATAGGCTTGGGAACCTCCAAGGCATTTGGGATGGTTAAGCTCCACCAGGTAATTATCCAGTATTAATTAAAATCAGCACTAAGACCTCTCATATTGGCTTGGCACATACCCAGGAGTTCAGTGCTGCTAGGAACTCAGTTTCTGGAAACAGGAGCAACAGATCCCCGCTGGTACAGAAGCCATCCACCCTCTAGGCTAGGCAAGCCTGTGATTCCAAACAGCTGTGTCTCTCTGGACAAGTTCCTTGACTCCAGGGGGGAAGTCTTGCACAATTTACTTTGTGAGAGCAGGGATAGTGTCCAATTTGTTTCCTGTGTGTGTGTGTGTTTTATTTATTTGACAGAGATCACAAGTAGGCAGAGAGGCAGGCAGAGAGAAAGCAGGGGAAGCAGGCTCCCTGCTGAGCAGAGAGCCCCATGCAGGGCTTGATCCCAGGACTCTGGGATCATGACCTGAGCCGAAGGCAGAGGCTTTAACCCACTGAGCCACCCAAGTGCCCCCAGGTGCCCCCAGGTGCCCCCAGGTTTTATATGTTTTAAAAGGGGACAGGTACCTGTATAGTTAGGACTCTCACCTCAATTACAAAATAAGATAGAGGAAGGCTACTCTGATAACAGAGCTGGGTGTAGGCAGGTTCTCCAGGTCACTTCAAGGAAACTCCCATCAGCCTCTGCCAGGAGTAGGCTGGTTTGCTGTCAGTTGGCCCAAAGCTTGGCCAGCCAGCCAGCCAGCAAACACAGCGTTCAAAGGGCATCTTTGGACCTGGAGGGAATGAGGGCCACAGAAAGCAGGAACCCCACAGCTGTTCCTTATCTCACAAACCAGCCTGAGAGTAAGGATGGACAGCCAGCCTCCAGGCCCTACCTGGCTCCCCTCACTAGCACCTGGTCCAAGAGCAGGGATGCATCTCTGGGAAGCCCTTCTGTTGCAAGTGGAGTCCCAAAGGCCTTCATGAATGCTCATTTGAGCAGGTCAAAGAAGAGTGCCTTAGAGCAAGAGAGAATACCAGGGCCCTGAATCCCACATCTTCTACCCTCACCCTCCTAGGAGTGCCTTCATTCAAGCCTGTCCAGCTATACCACTAAAGGTTACCGTGGCAACCAAACCCACAGACAGCAGGTGACCAGGAAACAGCTGCCAACAGTAAGTGATGGTGGGGGACAAGGCAAAAACAGAGACCCTCAGAAGCAAGAGAAATATAGAGCCTGTGGTAGAGAAGAGGCCTGACAGGTGCTCAGCTCCAAGCACCAGTCCTAGGAGTCACTCCCCAGCAGGAAGTCGGAGCTTGCACAGACTGCCACACCACCAACCACGGGCAGACACAATGGGGCTGGTTCTCAGAGATGTTTACAACTAGTAATCACAGTAACACAGGTGGGGTGCATGTTTAACCTGACAGCAGTGGGTCTGGTGAAAATGAACATGGGTAGGGTACCAACTATTGTTTCCAATGAAACAGTGGATTTCATGTACTCTTGATAGGTTTATTATTTTAAAGCATTTTTTTTTTCTTTCTAGGAGGAAGAGAAACACCCAAACTCCCCCAGACTCCTCTGGGAGACTGCTCTTGGCCCAGACCTCCCAGTATATACACCTTCTGCCCTCTGATACCCTCTGCATACTGGGAGTAGGGGAATGGACTCAGCCCAAGCAGCAACACCTCCCTCTTCTCTGCCCAAAAGGGATCTCTAGGCCATTCCACTCCCCTACCTATCTCCTGGAACCTGTTGGTGATCTGACCACCCCTGCATGCCAGCCCCTCTGGTCCAGTCTTCCCAGCTTATTTAGTATCTACCACCATCAGTTTCTCTTTTGCTTCAGAAGTGTTTATGAGCCTCTTGGACAGGAAGGCTTGGTAAAGTGGGCTATGTTTTATCTGTCATCACCCAAGCTGTCCTTCAGCCTCTATAATGCCTCCCTCATATAAGTGGCCTCATACAAGGTCACTGCCTTTGGTCCAGGAAGTCTCTATTTTAACAAGCATCCATGCCCCAGGGAGGAGTTAATTCCCAGGCCACCTGTTTCTGCACCTGTGAGTCACCCTCTCCCCAGGACACTGTGTCCCAAGAAAGTATCAGTTTCTGCAGCGGACCTTGGGTCAGCCTCGGAGACCCCTCAAGGAAAGAACAGACCCTGGGAAGCAAGGGAAAGGCTGGCTGGAGAGCCACAGGCCTATACGCTCACCAGAGCAGAGAAAACAGAAAAGAGAGCCCTCAGGGAAAACCTGGTCCTGGGGCTTTCCCGGTACCTGTTGGGACTCTCTGCTACCTGTGGCCTCACTCACAGGCCAGTGGCCCGGCTTTGACCCTGTAGTACAGACATGCCTCCTGCAGCTTGGGCCAAGCAGTCCCAGGACAGCCTCTGATAGCATCACAACCCTTTCTTCAGGCCTGTGGACACCCAGACATAACTCTGTCATCTGCACTCTATTATCGATCTCCCAATGATCTTGGCAGATCAGCTTACCCGGTCTGAGCATTGACTTCCACATCCAAAAGTGGGGTAAAAATCCATGCCCACTAAATATCAAGTTACATGGAGATAAAGTAATAAGGATAGGGGCGCCTGGGTGGCTCAGTGGGTTAAAGCCTCTGCCTTCGGCTCAGGTCATGATCCCAGGGTCCTGGGATCGAACCCCGCATTGGGCTCTCTGCTCAGCGTGGAGCCTGCTTCCCCCTCTCTCTCTGCCTGCTTCTCTGCCTACTTGTGATCTCTGTCTGTCAAATAAATAAAATCTTAAAAAAAAAAAAAAAGAATAAACCCATGGGAAGGTTAGAAAGGGCACAGGGGCTTCAGCCTCAAAAGAACTGTAGGGAAAGAACTGTGGGTGGAGATGGTATGACCTTACAACAGGAAAATGGCACTACTGTTGCTTCTAATAGGCTTGTTGCAACATTCCACTGGCTGCCCCTCACCTTTGACCCAGTTATACTCTTCTTTGTGCCTGGGTGAGGCTGTTATCACCGACTGGTTGTTTTAACACCTGCTGTCTGGCTTCTAAATGCTGCCTGTGACGGAGAAATTGTTGAGGAGGGCCCCAGCCTTTCCCCGACCCTCACCCCCATCACGGACAGCAGAGATATATCAGGAACAGGTGGCATTTCAAAGTGCATCATAAAAAGGAAGTGCCAGCCAGGAGGGACTTACTCACCATCTGCTCTGCTCCCTTCACAAATACGTCTCCTGGGGCTTCCCTATTTGACTTAACACCTATCGAACAACCAAAGGAGTAGAAGAATCTATCACCACTAACATCAAGGAAACGAAACATTCCATTTTAAAATGGAAGCTGTTTCAAAGGGCAAATTAGCCAGACGCAAGGACTGTAAAAGTGATCCTGAGCCATGGGAATGGCTGTCATTTGGCTAGAATGCAAATGCACTCACAGGGGCTTCCAGGCAAAGGCTGGGGTTGCAGGATTAGCTCAAGGACAGGCTGCTGCCAACAGCTTCAAGAAACACTTACGCGGCCTTCTCCAAACCAGGGAGATAAAGACATCCTGCAGCATTAGGGAGCAGGCGTAACACTGAATTAATCTTCCTAGGCAGAGGGCACACAATTTTCATCTCTGAACAATGTTATTTGTTGTTGTTTTTGCTTGACCATAATTCCTTTCTGGTCACCCAAGAGTATCTTCCCAGGAATAAAGTATCCTTCCTTAAACCCCCAAATCTTTAGCTTCCTGTCAGGCTGGCCACGCCCACTCTCAGATGGGGGTGGGTCCCTGCCCCCTCATCCCCTTATGCAGAGTCATGGCACTAAAGCCAAAGTCCCAGGGTCTCTGTGCAGCTACGGCAAGGTGGGACGTACCAGCAGAACTGTAACTGTGACTGCCAGGTGGGACAATGCCAGAGAAGCCCAGCTCTGGTAGCCTCGCCAGCCACCAGACAAGGACAAATTAACTTGGCTCCCTTACCACCTCTGGATGTACCTGTGCATCACCAACAGCCTAATTAGCAAAGCCTGGCTGGTGACATCAGATCACAGTGACCCCCAAAC